CACTAATACACGAACTATATTAAATGGAATTAACACTAATACACCAACTTTATTAAAGGGAATTAACACTAACACACGAACTTTATTAAAGGGAATTAACACTAACACACGAACTATATTAAAGGGAATTAACACCAACACACGAACTTTATTAACTGGAATTAACACGAACTTTATTACAAGGAATTAACACTAACACAGTCTCAATCAAATGTATTGACCATAGTTTACAAACCGTACTTTAGATGGTTTAAGGTCATTACTTGTATCAAAATTTCCACAAGTCACAATTGTAATATTTTCAGTGTTTAATGTTTTTCACGTTAATAATAAGACTGTCTAAATCTTAGCGAGTAAACAGCTCTTCCGTATTTGAACAGGAAGAGAAAAGTTTCGAAATATGTTATAGGCTTACCATTCGTATCATATGGTACTATATTAACTAAAATTGTGAAGTTAACCGTGTTGTAGTTAAACAGCCAAACACAGAATTCGGTCACCAGAGGCTCGAGCAGTCCAACAAGCCCGATATTAGTTCCATAAACTGATCCAGTCGATGGAGTGAGATCTGGATCATAGGCCAACGTTATGTTATTTTTCTGGGAATGACACTGTATTATTAGGAATTTGATTCTGGAAGGAATGCCCACAGCTACAATAGGGAGCACACTATTGGCCAGAATGGACACGCTAGTCGTTACGCTGTTGGTAGCCACGGGAATCTTGAGTGGAGTCACGTGAATAGGTGATTCATCTGTAAAAAAACACCTTTGTTATATATATAAATATATATATATATATAAGCTAATTTAGAAAAATTGTAATATGGACTTATGTATAGTTTGGTGCCCGTGAAGTGACTGGTAAAGAACAAACAGTTAGTACTTTAATTAAGTATCATTTTTAATTAATTATCACTTTGCAAATAAACAATTAAGAATGTTAAATTGCTTTTCTTGTTTAGTTAAATGGAGATTGCAAAGTTTTGATTATTCAAATGTCAATAAAAATTAATATATTCAAACTTGTCGATGACAGAAATAGAAGCTCCACACCAGATAGGTAGATTAGCAGTGTTCAAGTATGTACAAAGTGTCAAAACGTTGTGCCTTACACGAGTTTGAAACAAAATAAACTACAGGTTGCTGAAAGTCAATCTGAGCATGACAAACACTCAGTTGTTTAGTAAAAATACCCAGTGAGCAGAAATAGAAGCTCCACATCAGATAAGTAGATTAGCAGTGTTCAAGTATGTACAAAGTGTCAAAACGTTGTGCCTTACACGAGTTTGAAACAAAATAAACTACAGTTTGCTGAAAGTCAATCTGAGCATGACAAACACTCAGTTGTTTAGTTTGTAAGAAACCACCGGAAAAAATGTTTACAACAAAGCACTATGAATTTAATTCTGTTGTGGTCACCAGGCTGTGTCTTTTAGGGTTTTGCTCTTCATGAATGTGCGAGTAGTTTCGAAGGGATAGAATGAAAAAAAAAATGAAATGACAGACTAATATGGATTTAGAAGCAGGCATGTTAATTAAGAAAGATTATTGTATAAGCTACAATCTGCAAGGGCTACCGACAGAGTAATATGGATTTAGAAGCAGGCATGTTAATTAAGAAAGATTATTGTATAAGCTATAATCTGCAAGGGCTACCGACAGACTAATATGGATTTAGAAGCAGGCATGTTAATTAAGAAAGATTATTGTATAAGCTATAATCTGCAAGGGCTACCGACAGACTAATATGGATTTAGAAGCAGGCATGGTTAATTAAGAAAGATTATTGTATAAGCTATAATCTGCAAGGGCTGCCCACATGTTTAAATGCTCATTAATGTCTAGAGATCTTAAAAGAGCATATTCTAAGGATTTTTGACCTTATGGTAGAATTCTTCAATCAGTAAACGAATGTGTCGTTTCGGCAGGATAATGTTTCCTGCTACAAAGCACACGCAAACCATAATTAGTTCCAACACCTAGCAACAATACCAATGTTTTGAAATGGCTAACTGAAAGACAAGCTCTTATAATACTGGATGATACCATATGTTTGCTACCCCCTTAGTTAAGTTGTAAGGTTTTTGAAACTATTGTTTTTGTTCAGAGTTCCCACTTACAAACACAAAGAGTCACTAAAGTAGACACCTCAACTCTCCCCGTTTTGTGCAGATAAGATGCGAATTCACTAATTAATTGATACCACATGATGTTCAGAAACAGAAAGTTGCCTTCTCTGTTAGTGAACCAGATAGTAGTCATGGACTGCCAAACTCTAGCACTAAATTAACTATGGACAAGGATCATGTTTGTGAGATCAAATGTGTGCAAACCTGGCTTTGTTTGTGCTATTTAACTTTTGTATTCCCATAGGAAAAATAGTTTAGAGAAACTTTCACTTTCAGCTGTATTTTTCGTAACCTTTTCATGTTTTGGTTCAACATTAGCACGCAGTGTTTAAATTTAATTTGTTAATGTGATTTCCATTAACTTAAGCTTGGTTTTAAACTTGATTTTTGATTCATTTAAACTGTGATAGTGGTTTCAGTTTGAGGTTAACGATGGGGTTACATTTTAATTTTGAAGTTGAAACTGACGTACAGGAGGAACACGCTGAACTGGTACCAGAAATGAACAAATGTTTCTTCACACATACATATTTGACAGATCCACTACAAATAAACTTGCCCATATTTTTGTTTTGTATTACGTCTGTCTATGTTTGGCTTCGACTCCTTCTTCTCACCAACCATGGTTACAGATTGGATAAATACTTATATACAACCCATAGTATGATATATACTTTGAACCTCCAGTTAGTGTGGCCTTAAATTTCTACTTTATGGGAAAGCCACGTAATGTGGAATACTGAGAAAAAGGGTATTGTACAGACTGAATTTCCTCTGAGAAGGTGAACACTTCAGGGAGTACTCTACTCTCAGCACATGTGGAAATGGCTTTTTCCACAGGAAGGCAGCTATAAAACTTAGAGAAGGAAGAGTCTAGGATTATGGTATGATAGTTTGCAAGAAGGGCAGCTAGATGTGGGGGATGTCCTCTCCTGGATCTTGAACTTTTGCCAGTACTGCAGGGGTCCTTCACACCTATTACCCTGCTGCCACGAGCTCAGGACAGGGAGTGAGGGTTATCTGGTGCACTCAGAAAGCCTAATGAAGTTCTCCCTCTTGGGTTACACTGATACAGTGTAAGAGCCCCAAATGAATGATAAATATGGCGATGGCAGGCTACTGTGGATGTCTATGACTGAGTGGGACAACCTCCAAAGGACTCCAAGGTATTCAATGAGAAGAGAAATGCAACACTAGCTACAGTGTTACTGAGGGTGTCTATGACTGAGTGGAAGAACCTCCAAAGGATTCCAAGGTATCCAATGACAAGAGAAATGTAGCTATAGTGCTACTGAGGATGTCTATAGCTGAGTGGGACAACCTTCAAAAGACTCCAAAGTATTCAATGACAAGAGAAATGCAACACTACCTCTTGCTGATACTACTCATAGAAAGACAAGATGTACAAAGGAGCAGCCAAGAACAACCTCAATCATTTTCTACAACGATTTTGGAAAGTAACTGCAAAGAATCGATAGCTTCAGCAACTGGTGATCCAATACCTAATATTGAGCCTTGATGGTCCAGCATTCTTCTTCTCCGTAACGACCTTAATTCCAACTAGTAAATTTGCAAGCCAACAATTTTTACAATTGGCTAGCCGGCCCAAACGGCAACCCTTAAGGACGAGCATGTCCAGTGATAAGAATTCGAACTCGCGACCCTCAGATTCCAAGTCGAGCACCCTAACCATCAGGCTATGTCAAAAGGTACAGCTCTCTACACAGTCAAATATGTAATGTAGGCACAGATCGCTGACTGGAACACAGTTGTAGCAGAAGAGCATCACCATTTTGACCAAGGGGAAAACTGAGTTTAAGGCTCGTAAGAAGGATCCTTAAGAGACCTTAGGTGCCTTTGCTGATAACCTAAGTCTTCTACCTGCATGGAAGTCTACCCTGCAATGGTGAATACCAGAAGTAGGCAGCGTTTTTCGGTGTTGTCATCTGGTAGGACCTGTGTCAACAAGTAACCCAGTGTTAGAATATATTGTTTAGTTTCTTTAGGCAGAGAAGTGATTCTTCCTGAGTGTAACACTTACTGAACAATGATTTGTGCCTGAGTGTAACACTTACTGAACAATGATTGTGCCTGAGTGTAACACTTACTGAACAATGATTGTGCCTGAGTGTAACACTTACTGAACAATGATTATGTCTGACTGTAGCACTTAATGAACAATGATTGTCTGACTGTAACACTTGCTGAACAATGGTTGTGTCTGACTGCTACAATTACTGAACAATGATTGTGTCTGACTGTAACACTTACAGAACAATGATTGTGTTTGACTGTAACATTTACATAACAATGATTGTGTCTGACTTTAACACTCACACAGCAGTGATTCTCCTTGAATGTAACACTTGCAGAACAGACAATGTGTCTGAATGTAACATCTGAGTTACTTTTCAAACTTGAAGGCAAATAGATTAAAAGTAGTTTTTTTTAATATAGAGGTAATTTGTATGTTATCATAATGGACACCAGTCTCTGATCCAACTTTCAAAGTTCTTATTCATCATGAAGGTAACAAGTATTGGGCCAACATCTTTCTAGAATTGATTTGACCTAAATTAATTAAACAATGAATAATATATCATAACTAAAATATATTTACCTAACTCTTTCAACCAAATATCACAATAAAATCAAGTAAATGTCACTTTTCAATGAAGAAAAACTTCATTTCTGAATCTTATTTTCAAAGGCTATATATCAAACAATTATCAGTAAGTATAACATACCTAAAGTGGTTGTAAAAGATCTGAAGTTGACCTGATATCCAATTACTTTATACTCTATGCTAATTTTATTCGAAGACAAATACCATCCGTTCTAACAAACGTTTCTCTACATTAACAAGGACTTTCAAGTGAAATAAACATAACAGAAAAACAAGTAACAATAAAATAAAATGGGCAAACTGAACTTAAAGGATATTGGGCTTATTACAGGGAAACTTCAGGCGATTGGGCTTATTACAGGGAAATCTTCAGGCGATTGGGCTTATTACAGGGAAAAACTTCAGGCGATTAGGCTTATTATAGGGAAAACTTCAGGCGATTGGGCTTATTACAGGGAAACTTCAGGCGATTAGGCTTATTACAGAGAAACTTCAGGCGATTAGGCTTATCACAGGGAAAACTTCAAGCGATTAGGCTTATTACACAGAAACTTCAAGCGATTAGGCTTATTACAGAGAAACTTCAGGCGATTAGGCTTATCACTGTAGGGAGCTTCAAGCGATTAGGCTTATTACAGGGAAAGCTTTAGGCGATTGGGCTAATTGTAGGGAACTTCAAGCGATTGGGCTTATTGTAGGGAAAACTTCTGGCGATTAGGCTTATCACAGAGAAAACTCCAAGCGATAAGGCTTATTACAGAGAAAACTTCAGGCGATTAGGCTTATTACAGGGAAAGTTCAGGCGATTGGGCTAATTGTAGGGAACTTCAAGCGATTAGGCTTATTGCAGAGAAAACTTCTGGCGATTAGGCTTATTACAGAGAAAACTTCAAGCGATTAGGCTTATTACAGAGAAAACTTCAAGCGATTAGGCTTATTACAGAGAAAACTTCAAGCGATTAGGCTTATTACAGAGAAAACTTCAAGCAATTAGGCTTATTACAGGGAAACTTCAGGCGATTGGGCTAATTGTAGGGAACTTCAAGCGATTAGGCTTATTACAGAGAAAACTTCAAGCGATTAGGCTTATTACAGAGAAAACTTCAAGCAATTAGGTTTATTACAGAGAAAACTTCAAGCAATTAGGCTAATTGTAGGGAACTTTAAGCGATTAGGCTTATTACAGAGAAAACTTCAAGCGATTAGGCTTATTACAGAGAAAACTTCAAGCGTCTAGGCTTATTACAGAGAAAACTTCGGGCGATTGGGCTTATTGTAGGGAATACTTCAGGATATTGTTGTACCGGTATAAACCAATGTTTGATAACCTGTGATATTGTTGTACCGGTATAAACCAATGTCTGATAACCTGTGATATTGTTGTACCGGTATAAACTAATGTTTGATAACCTGTGATATTGTTGTACCGGTATAAACCAACGTTTTATAACCTGTGTTATTGTTGTACCGGTATAAACCAACGTTTTATAACCTGTGATATTGTTGTACCGGTATAAACCAACGTTTGATAACCTGTGATATTTAACCAGTATAAAACAACGTTGAGTAATCTGTGATAATTAACCAATATAAAACAACACTGAGTAAAGTGTGATATTTAACCTGTATAAAACAACGTTGGCTAATCTGTGATATTTAACCAGTATAAAACAACGTTGAGTAATCTGTGATATTTAACCAGTATAAAACAACGTTGGG